ATACAGTATCACCTGTTGGCTTGTCCAGTTAACCATTCTGATGAGACACTTGAGAAGTTAGATCATCTATCACTTGACTTTTCAGAAATAGCAACTCAGGACATCTAGATGCTTCACTTTTTCTCACTTAACATTTCCTAACAGCAGGAAAGCTTTCTAACTGTCCATCTGTCTAAAGTGACAGCTGAAGGCCTGCTGCGTCCTTGGTCAGCTACTCTGCCAACTTTCGTCACCTCAACCTGTAGATCTGGACGCCACTCAGAGGACGCCCTCCTTCCAAAAGGTGAGGACCCACCTTGCCTTCCACAGCCTGTCCGGTCCTCTGATCTTACCCTGGGCCTCTACTTCATAAAGGTAAAAAGATGCTTCCAAGATTTTGGCTGAATTGTGACCCAACCGGAAAGCATCAAGCTTTTGCAGGCAAACGAAATCAAATGCTTCTACACGTGAGCGGTAAACCCCAAGCGTCCCTTTGTTAAAGGGGTGGGTGGGTCACATCAGACTGTGGAGCATTGCTTTTTCCTGTAATGGCCCTTTTAGTAAATTCTTCAGGAACACCCATGAGGTGAGATTCTAAAAGAATGAGGCAGACTCCCCCCTCACCCCCATGGATATACAAGCACACACAGGGTGGGCAAAAGTAGGTTTACAGTTGTGAGCACATGAAACAGAATTTATTCTCGTATGACTATTTATTGTATTGTTTTCCGTACAAACAGCTGTAGCCCTACTTTTGCCCACCCCCGTAGGTGCCCCAATAACTGTCATCTTCCAGTGCAATCCATTTTTGATGAAAACACTTATGGAGTTGTGGTGAAGACCGTTTATACGACAAGAAAATGAGTTGTGTTATTTCCAGCTGGGAACTCCTTCCCCTCCCTCGGGGAGAGGCCATTCATGTAAATGACACCACATTTACTGGGATGGCCTTGCGGCCTGGAGAGGCAGAGACCCTGCCTTCTGGGCCAGGCTAATGCTGGAAGCCTTGGGGAGGCCTCTTGCCCCTCGGAAAGCAAACAAACCAAGTGTTTTGTGGCCTGCCCACCTGCTGGATGTGGGTATAATTGGCTGAGCAACATAAATAAATGTCAAGTCACCAGGGGTCAAAGAAGTCTATTCCAGTAAACACCTGAAAGTATCATTATTTATAACGAGAGCAAAATAAAGTGCTAGAATCCAGGTTTCCCTGAGCAGATTTTCTCTGGACTAAATGCAGCTACGGAGCATATAGTCAACATTTGCCAAAGTGTCATCCGTGGAACATAAGCTTAATGAATTGCTAGCAGTGTTCCTTGAAAGGGTATGTGTGTGGGAGGTGGGGGGTGGGGGTTCCATTGGTCAAATGAGTTTGGGAAACACTGGATTAAACAAAGCTCAACAGCTTCCTTTCCTTTCAGAGCCTCTGGGAATTCTCCAAGGAGCTACAGGAAAGGTGTATCCACTTGGTCACATTGCTGTCTCATGGCCATTTCTCTAGAATCTAATTAGGGTGCTAAGTGCAAAGTGCCTGAGCTCTGTCACAGCCCCTCTACCGCATTTAAAGAAATATGGACTGTCTGGTGCCAACACTGCTCAAAATAAATTTTGTCTAAAAGAGCTTCTTGGCTGGTCCTGAAGGGACAGTCAATACTAACAACATAATCACAGCGTCAAGGGCTGTTAATAGCTATGGAGAGAATTCAGATTTCCTGGGATGGAGTATGTGGGGCTGGGTAGCTACACACACACACACGCAGGCATGCACGCACGCACACAGGCATGCATGTGCCACATTTTCATTTCACCTGCATTTCTGTAAATGAAACCACATTCACTTACCACTCAGGACAGAGATCCAAGTTATCGTCCTCCTCTCACATCTAGTCTGCCCCTAAATCCTGTCAATCACACCTCTAAGGATTTATTCTCGTCAACTTACCTACTACCACGTCCCATGCTATGTCCCTCTTCCCTTGTGCCTAATGGCCCAGTCCTACTGAGGTCTGTGTGGCCCTAAAAGGGTCCTGGCTTTTCCATCTTCTGCAGCTGCCTGCACACATGGGCCTGAGTACCGTTGCCTCCTCCTCCCTGCCACGGTCTCCTGGGGGAATTACCACTCGAAGCTTCCCCTATCCCTGCCCCATTCCTCCCCTCCCACCCCACACATATACATATACATATGCATTTACATATACATTACTCATAATCTGCATCCATTATTACTTTACAGAGCTCTTTCATGTCTCTCCCATCCTTAATACTTGCACAGGGATTGAGACAGAAAATGCTCAGTACCTTTGAACACACGAAGAAAGGAATTAAAAAGTAATTTTTAAAATGTGTTCATCAGGCCGAAACCGGTTTGGCTCAGTGGATAGAGCGTCGGCCTGCGGACTGAAGGGTCCCGGATTCGATTCCAGTCAAGGGCATGTACCTGGGTTGCGGGCACATCCCCAGTGGGAGATGTGCAGGAGGCAGCTGATCGATGTTTCTCTCTCATCGATGTTTGTAACTCTCTATCTCTCTCCCTTCCTCTCTGTAAAAAAATCAATAAAATATATTTTTAAAAAAGACTTTAAAATGTGTTCATCAGAATTCAACTTCCGAATTTGTAAACTCAGGCTAATGGGGAAAGGAAACATACGTGAGAGTCAAGGACAAGAGAGACCCAGAGCCCTGCGGAAGCAAACACCAGCCCCTTGCTAAGGCTCTGGAAAGTACAGCTTCCACACGTCTTCCGTAAAGATGCATTTACCTACCGTATTTGCCGGCGTATAAGACGATTTTTTGGCCCTGAAAAATATGCCTCCAAGTGGGGGGTCGTCTTATACGCCAGGTACACTTCAGACAGACTGCCCATAGTGCTTGCCCCGTGCCATAGTGGCCTCCCGATGCCCGCCCACTTCATTCCACATACCGTTCAGGCATCAGCAGCGCTGCTGGGTGTATGCTCGGCTGTTATGCGATTTTGCTGTTATGCGATTTTACCACACTCGCAAAATCGCACACAGCCGACCATACACCCAGTATGATAGCGCAAAATCACGAATCGCGATACCATACTGGGTGTATGGTTGGCTGTGTGCGATTTTGCGAGTGTGGTAAATTCGGGTTACCGTATATTTCTTTACATATGCATTGAAGATTCGCGATTTTGCGCTATCATGGTGCCTGTTAGAATGTTGAAGAGCTCGCACTTGCGCACTAGTGAGGTCCCAGGGAGATGCTGATGTTGCTAGGGACTTGCCCGGCACTTGCTCTCTACCTCTATTTGTTATCTTACTTCTATCATTGACAGTCCCTCTAGGTTGTGGGCTGCTTGCCTGTGTTCCTGAGAAGCATCTACGGTACCAGTCTATAGAGTGTGTTTTCTTTAGTGAATTACCGGTATGTTTACCGGTAATAAACTTGCACTGTTTTATGTATATGTTTGATTACATACAGCCTTGTGACAGTTTTCCTGCATGTCATAAGCATTTGAATATAAATTAAAATGTTAAAATCAAATCTGATATTGTTTTACCTTTTATTTGGTGTGTGGAAGGTGTGCGGAAGAGGGGGTAGTCTTATACGGCGAGTATATAACAAACTCTGTATTTTGAGTGGAAATGTTAGGGGGTCGTCTTATACGCCCAGTCGTCTTATACGCCGGCAAATACGGTACGTCCCAACTACCTGCAGTCACGGTGTCTCCTCAGAAAGCCCAGGCATGACACTGGAGGCTTGCAATGCCCTTTAAAGTGGTTATTAATCCACTTCCCATGGTCACATGCCCAAGCGGATGGAAGAGGGAGAAAGAGCCATCTGTCCGTGTTCCCTGGGCTGGGTGTACAGTACCATTCAGACCTGAAAGCCTCCTTTCTCTGTTGTGGGGTAGAGGTGTTTACCCATGTTGGTTCATTATTTAAACTGCCCACATAATAAAGTCAAGTATTTATTGTTTCGATCCCAAAATTCAAATCCAAACCAAGTTCTCTGTTATAGAGGCAAAAACAGAGCACAATTCTTGACGTCTCTCAGTACACACTATGGATGGTGTGTCTGGCTTCCAGGATTGATAAATATTTACTGAACACCAACAGGGAGGAAAAAAAAGGGCAATCTTGCCCAATAGTTTCACCTCCACACAGGTTGTGGGTAGGTACAAGTCACCCCCACGTTTAACTCCCTTCTGTACAGGACAAAGCCACAGCTGGTGATCGGTATTCATCCTGAAACACAGCTTATTTCCGTTCTTTTTCCTCCTTGCCCTAGATGGGATCCTAACCTAGTGGGAGAGGGCGATGCCATAAAGGATTACTAGACAAATGTGGAATAGAGAGGTTAAGTATCATATTGATATTTTTTTTAAAGGTACAGGCTGACTGCAAGGGGAAGAGAAATGCTACTTTCAATATCTTAGTAACAACTCCCAACCCTGGTAAATCAAGCAAACCCCTCTCTCCCTCTCAGCTGGCGTCACAACGTTCTCACAAGATCTCTAGGAGAAAAGCATTTCTGCTTTCCATCCGACAGAAGCAAAGGCACACACAGGTTACAGGCTGGCTCAGGACACTCAGGACCACAGGCGACAGGTAAGTCAGAAGTCACACCCTGAACCCGACCCAGCAGGATCTCACTCCAGAACGCCAGACACAGCGCACCCACCACAGGCGATCCAAGCGCCACGCTGCTCTCCACCGAGCTACTGAAGCAGCATAGCACAGAGTGCAGGCCCGCAGGGTGAGACAGAAGCTGCGCGCAGAGGGAGGGGGAAGCAACAGAAACCATGGCTGAGGTGCTGGGGGCGCCTTGGTCAGAAGTGCTTTCAGAGAATGGACACCCCAAATGGAAACACTGCACACAGCCCCAGAAGCCACAGCGGGGGTTCCGGGGTATCTGCCGCCGCCACCCCGCACTCCGAGGAGGGGCCATGGGGAGGCGCTGGAGAGGCTCGTTTCTGACTCCTTAGGAATCGGTGGGTTTGGCGTAGCAAGGGATACCTGTATTTAGAGACACGGGAATACAAGACAGATCCTGACCTGTTTCCTTCTATTTCCAACTGAGAATTACTGGGCACCTTCTCCACGTTACACCTGCGGTAGAGTAGAAAGAACACTAGCGTCAGAAGACCTGGGTCCCCGTCCGGCCTGGCTCCTGCCTCCTAGATTGGGTCATTCATTTCGCTCTCCATGGCTCAGTCGCCTCACCTACCTGCCTTGCCCCCCTCACGGGAGGGTCGGGAAGACCACATGGGGTTATGTATGGAACATCATTCTGAAAAAATATATACTTCTCCAGAAATGGGGGGGAAAGAGGATTTTCTAACTTCTTTGGGACCTTCCCAGCTTCTCTCAAACACGGAAATGCCTATTACTCTGGTCCCATTTCCCTCCACACATGTTCTGTGTGGCCTTTAGGACACACACTCCATCCACTGTTCGGGAAGCAGAGGCAGACCTGAGGAAAGCAGCTTTAGCTTAGCCCAGTCTAGCTCCTCATTGGCAAAACGGGGATAATACTTACCTCGGAAAGCTGTCCCGAACACTGAACAGAGGCCGCAATTGGTTACGGCACCAGCACAGAGAGGGAGCCCGAAACAACTGCGAACCCTGGATTCTGAACCTTATCTAGGGAGTAGGTTCTACTTCCCAGAACTCCATTCCATTCCAACAGCTCACGGAGCCAATGACCCTCAACTGGGAAGGACCAGAAAGCAGCACCTGGGGTCTTTAATCCTTTCTGGGGGTTCCAGGGAGCCTCTGCCGTTGAGGATTTGGAAACTGCTGTGCTGGTGTCCTTTGTGTGGGGGCAGAGAAGTGGCTGACAGGTGTGACAAGTCTTGAGAAAACCCCCCGCCCCAGCGAGATCTTACCCTGGGCGCCCTTTGGCCCACACGGCCCATGCATGGTCACTTAGAGATCCCTCCTTAGAGCTGCTGCCAGCACGGCCCTAGGAGAGCGGAGGCCTTGCCGAGCGGGCAAAGCCCACACAGAGAAACGCAGGGGCAGTGCAGGCTACGGAGAAGTAGCTGGAATGTCCGAAATAGAAGGGTGGCAGACCGTCTTTCCCAGGGTAGAGGTTTGACCATCAGGCAGGCTACTGAAATGTTCAAGGGGAAGCTGTTGAAAGTTCTTAAGTGACAGTGTGACGTGCTCAGATAAGTATCCAGGAGGAAGGCAGAATGATGGGCAGACTGGAGACGGGGAACACAGGCAAGACATGCTGTCCCAGACCAGGCCAGGCCAGTGATGGGAGGGGTCTGAGGAAGACAGTGTGCCAGGAGGTGGAGGAGGGGTGCGCTGGGGAGATGCGTGTGCGTGTGCGTGGAGGAAACCTGGTATCTGAGTGCATGTTAGGAGTAAGTTACGGAATGGGAAATGCTTTCATCATTGCACTTTGGGGATATTGAATAATGACGGTGTTAGCCAAGGGGATACAGAAGCCATAATAGACTGTGCCGCCTCGGAAAGTGTAAGGGTGAAGGCAGAGAAACCTGCAAATGACAAATACTGTCTGAGACATTCTACAGACCACAATGCAGATCGTTTGAGGAGAGATGGGCATGGTTCTGTGGTTTGAGAGTATCAGAAGTGACAGCTCACTGGGTACGTGAGGCTCTGAACAAAGGAAATCCCAGCAGAGTAATTTTACTCGGGGCTGGTAAGGAGCACCTGGGGACAGACCTACCCAGCAGGTCAGCCGTCTGACTGGCTTGGGGCAAAAAAAGTACAAACAAACAAAAACCCCAAAGTGACAAAAAAGAATATTACCTAATGGTATGGATTTGGCTTTAAGAATGTATTTTCTTCAAGTGTATTTTAAAAAGACAACATGAACTGGTACGAACAGTCTATCTTAGGAAGCCTCGGGATGAAGGTCAACGCAGGAAAGCCTTTCGCACAGCAAGCACCTACATGCACTCCAGGTAAAGCACTTAGGAGAGAAATCTTGGAACAATGCCATGCTTTTTAGTAAGAGTCCATCCCTTCTGGAGAATGAGTGGACTACCTGTGAGCCTTCAAAATAGCAGTCAGCTTTACTCAAAATGAGAGAGATGCTAGCTAACCAATGCCTTTTCAGCATATATAGGAATTAAATGAGTACATATGTATCACTTTCCCCCTAAAAGTGACCTTAAACATGAGATGTCATTGTAGCCTCATATAATGGACTCACATGACCACCCCCCCTTTCCCTGAATTCCCCGGTCCACTGCCTGTTCAGTAACATGGGCTGGGAGGGCCATCCCCCCACATGGTGAGCCATGGAGGCCAGCAAGCACCTCTGGCCCTGCTGAGCAGGGCAGGGCTGGAAATGAGGTGGGGAATGCAATAAATGAATGGATGATTTTCTACAACGTGAAAAGAGCCAGGCAGGACTCACAACAAGCTAAGGCTTGCCACCTTCTTAGATAGAATCAGAGCTTACTAAAACGAGGGGCAAGACGACAGTCCATGTTCAGGAAAGAGAGCAGAGCCTGAGGAGCCCTAGGGAGAGAGAAGTCCTGTGGTTGTCACCCCTGCCACTCTACCATGTACCAGGGCTGTGTCCAATCAGATAGGCCGGGCAGATAGTGCCCGCCTCTCCCACTGCTTCCCTGGGCGCTTTCTCAGAGCTGGTGGACCTCAAGTCCAAACCCTTCGCAACCACAGGCCCAGGCCTCACCAACTACTCCTGCTACAAGTCTTCAAACAATTGATGGAGGGAGGAGGTGACAATGACCTCATCTGCCAGTCCAGGTTCTTTGAGAAGGAGAACAATGCTCAGATTTGAAAGCAAGGCATAATAAAGGCTGAACAAAAGCTACTGATAAGGCGAGTGGATAGAAAGCCTATCAAGACGCTTCAGATGTGTTCGAGTGTCCAGCTGCAAACTAATTACATCCTGAGACAGTGTGTGTAGGTTTCTCCTGCTAATAATGGTTAAGAGACCAGAAAAGAGAAATGGAATCAGAAGAATCGAGATAAGCAAATGTCCCCATTTCCAAAGGAGAAAAGGAACTGGAGACTGCTCTGCTTGAAGTGTATCCTTGCTAAAAACTTAGGAGAAATTATTCAGATGCCACCGGGCTATTTAGAGAAGATAAATAATACCATTAAGGAGCAGTAGGGGGTCTCTTAAAAAAAGCCATGGCAAGCTAACCTCATTTCCTCTTTCCACGGGGATTCTTAGTGGATAGATTGGAGAGGCCATACATGTGTATGTCTTGGTTTTAGCCCTTCTAGATAACCTTGAGAAAGGAGAGATAAGTGTGGGTGACATGATAGCATGGTCATGTGAGTTCACAGGTGGCTAATCAACTCTTAAGGATTGCTGGTTAATAAATTCGTGTCAACCTGCAGCGATTTTCAGGGGCATGATATAGAGACCTGTCCTTTGCCTGTTAGCAATTTTTCAGCAATAGTCTATCTTCAGCACAAATGATTGAAAACCGCAGTTTCTCTGTTTTCCACCAGACCTAACCAAAGCAACATACAACAGTCACGGTTCTCCACCAAAAGAATATAATGTGTTATGAATCGTCTAGATCAGTGGTCGGCAAACTGCGGCTCACGAGCCACTTTGGCCCCTTTGGCCCCTTGAGTGTGGCCACGAAGTTTCACTCGCACTGTAAGTGCGCTCCCACACGTGGTATTTTGTGGCAGAGCCACACTCAAGGGGCCGCAGTTTGCCAATCACTGCCCTAGCAAATCTTCAGATGACCAATAAAACTTAGGAAGACAAGGAAGTAAACTTGATTTTTTTAAAAGGCACAAAAATTCAGAGTTCTATCAGTAGACTAGAATGAGAAAACAAAAAAATCAATTAATTGCAACTGCACAAGGATAAGAATAACTCTAGTAGATTCAGGTTCAAAAAAAAAAAAAAGGAAGAAAGAAAGAAAAAGAAAAGAAAAAAGAAATACAGCATGCCAGTGAGAAAAGAGCTGTCTGCATGTTCGGGGGAGGAGGAGTTTTTCCAACAAGTCACATGTTCACCGTGAGTTAACTCTGTGTCAAAGTTGCTGGAAGAAGTTAACACACTCTTGAGTTATGTTAACAGAATCCTGGTGTTCAGAATAAGAAAGCTAACCAGCCTGCAACGAGCCGCAGAATACATGTGACGTTCCGGGTGCCGCGTTTCAAATGCGACACTAAGAAAGCGGAATGTGCCGAAGGCAGGGACCAGGGTGGTGCAAGTCTAGGGTACCCCCGGATAGCAGGGTGAGGTGTGTCAGCCTGAAGAAGGATGTCCTGGGGTGAAAGTGTTTACAGATGTTTTAAAGGACATTTCTTAAGACTCTCTGAAGGCCTAAGTAGAGCAAACAGCTGGAAGTCAGGGGACTGAATCCATCTTACTGAAGGAAATGGCTGTTGTGTTCAGAGGTGGCCTGTCTCCTAACACTGGAGCTAACGCTGGGCATGTCCACGCTGAGGTGGACGACAGTCAGCCAGAGGTTCAGGGACACAGATGGGTTGTGGGAAGTTGGACCAGGTAGAGATAAAACCCCTCCCAACATTAAGACTCGCTCTAGGAATCTCTCTTTATTCAGGTTAACACCATAAGCCACATCTCTAGACTTGGAGTAGCTCTACCCGCCCCTACTCTTCAGCATCGTACTCGACATCTCATCCCGGGGACAATGTTTATAGGGTACAGATACCAATCAGGTTGAATTCATTTTCAAAGAAATAGTCTTAGGATAAATATCACATAAACTGAGAATATGGTTTTAGAAGTCTCCTACATAAACAGAACAAAGCACGCTTAACAAGTCCGAGCAAAGCCTTCTGATATTACTCGACAGAGAGTTTTGTTTGGGGAAATAGAATGGGAACGGGGAGCAGCAGGCCAGAGCTGCCTCTGACAGCGATCACTGTAGGAAGCCTTTCCAAAGACGAACCACACAACATTGGCTCTTTGGGGTGACATTTTAAAATGAGACCTGGTGCTCAAAACAAAGGCAGTCAATGGATGCCTACATCATCCTAGTCCGTCATTTAAAAGAAGAGACATCTGCCCCAGAATCATGGAAGAAGGTTGGGGGTGGGGTGAGGGGAACTGTCTCACGAGAGAGAATTAGTTCTTGTATATCAACTAAATATAGATGGCAGGTCTGACTTACTACCCTGCTATCCTGCACCTGATAGAGCTCTAACGTGGACTGGGGTGACGGGAGGCAGGTTAGCACAGGTGGCATTTCCTTCCCAGGCAGGTTCAGTTACTATATTAGTAGCTGACTTTAAGGGTGCAAAAATCTGAGCACATGGAGAGGTACGTTTCCCAGCAGCGTCTTCTAAATCCAACCAAAAATATGACAACATATCTAATTACAGCCCTCCTAATTTGAGTGCCTCCTACTTGAGCACCAAGTTTGGTAAGAGAAATAAAAAAATATAAATAGACTAAGCGCTTTTTCTAGAGGGTTACTAACATGAAATGTACATGAGACATGCAGTGGTGGGAAATTTCGTGCATATTCCCCAGAATGTGCCTAAAATGTGGGAGCTAACAGAATGGATCTTAGAGGGGTTCCTTTGCAAAGGGAAGGTAAAATAAATAAATAAAACCAGAGGATGTGTGTGTGTGGGGGGGAAGTACTCAATGTCTGCATGCTGAAGATTTAAATATCCTTCCTTCCACTACCATACAACTAAAGACTTGCTCAATAACCAGTCCCGCAGAAAGTGTTTTTGGGAAATAAAAGGGTGGGAAGCCTGTCAGCAAGGACACTGACTTTATCGTGTGCCGAGCCCTACTCACCCACTCCTGTGATTCCTTATACACAGTCTGAAAGGCTAATTATTACTTATTAAACTGTCCAAAAACCTTGGGTTGTATTCACTCATCAAATCCTCATAACGCCTCTAGAGGCAGGTGAGTAATTATTCCATTTTGTGGATAAGAAAAGTGAGGCTTAGGCAGGTTAAGTAAATTGCTCACCCCTCCCCACCCGCTTGCCCCCGAAATGCTAGAGTTAGAATTCAAACACAGGCAGTTAAATCAGAATGTTTTTATCTTTCTTATTGAGCCACAAAGTGTTCTTAATTTGTTGTAAATATTATCCTTTTGTATATGGTGAAAATATCATATAACATATCTTGTAGACTGTTTTTTAAAAATCTCTAGAAGTTCTAAATTTTGATGTAGTCAGATTTGCAAACCGTTTTCTTAATTATCTTTTTTTACCTTTTACATTTAGGTTTTAAATCCAACTGGCCCTCACTTTATCTGTTTAGATAAGAAACAAGACAGGAGCCCGTGGTCTAACTACTGCACTATGCCTCGCTGACTTTTAAGTGACCTAACCTTATACCTCTCTGTATTCTGGGCAGTTCCTAGGAAAGTGGTCAGCCCACGGCCATGGATATCCTTAAATCACAAACTCCAAAGGCTGTGGAGCCAGCAGGTGATATAAAGGAGTGGAGGGGCCAGGTGTGAAAAGCACGATGCTAAATGGTAACGGACACTCCTACCGGAGCAGTGGAAGTGGTGATGCGACGGGGACTGTGACAAACCAGAGCGCGACCGCCCGCAGAGGCGGCAGCCACGTCTTCACCCTGAGCAGCTGCCGCCGATGGGAAAGTTGGGTAGATTGCTGCTAGATATTTAGGTTTTTCAAAAAGGGGGGGGGGGGGACAACAACCACCACCTCTCAAGTTTTATTTTTAAAAAGCTCGCTAATTTAATGTTTGCTTTTTAATTTTTAAAAAAACTACGTGAAATATGAAAGAAAACCATCTGTGGTCCACTGGCTGGTGACCTCTTTCCTGCCATGAAGCAGGAGAGAGCCATCCCTGGAATACCAGGCCTGGCACCGAGCCTCTCAGGACTTGCTTGGCTGTTCTCAGCGCTACAGCAGCCCTAACCTCACGCACAGCAGGTAATGACCCAGATGCCTGTCAGAGACCCACGCACACCTCGTCAGAGACACAGGCATTGTGCTTTCCTGAGACAAAGGGCAAGAAGAGTTAGAAGTATAAGCCAGGGGCTGATAAAATGAGATGCCATAGTCCAAGCTGGCTTCCTGGATGGAAACTGTTCCTGCCTCCGGCAAACCTACCCATCGGGTTTGGGGGTAAATAGAAACTTGACAGAGTTACTGACTCTTGGTTTACAAGGAAGTTTGCTGTTCACTGTAGTAAAAGAATGGACTTCTGGCCAAATTTTCCTCCCTGAATTGCTGTCATTCCCCTGTGTCAAGGAGTAGCTTACCCAGACCCAATATAATGGGGCTGTCCCCCTTGAGGCCACCTCAGAATTCTGTGAAAAAAGGGGGAGGGTAGTAAAAATAGGAAGCGGGGGACCAACAAGACCTGGTTGGTAAAGAGGGGCAAGTTATTCTCACCCTTCACACACACCCCCTCCCACTCACTCACTTGTCACCATTTCTGAAAACTCCTAATAAATCATGTAATAAAAACTTAACAATAAAACCCCATGGTTGAAAGTTTCTTGCTTTTGTGACTATTTAATCTTTATAATGACATCCTCTCCCTAGTATAACACATTCACTAAAATCAAAATGAAAAACTAAAATCACAACTTAGTTATTCGTTTTAAAACTTTCAGGAATACAGAGCAACACTAGTTAATGTAAAATATATATATATGTAACTAAAAATGATTAATACCATATGCAATTTAGAGAAATGTGTGTTTTGTTTCCTATCAATTTTTTCCATCAAAATGACATGTAATTGTCCCATTCACATGCTTAGCAAGTGGAAACCAAATCAACTAATCAGAATGTAGTCTAACTAGATTATCTACTGTAGCGGGCTGACACCCTAAAACACCTTTGCTTTGGTTTTCAAATAAGTGTTCATTGTTTAAAATGGTCTGGGGCTAGTGTCCAGGACAGATTTCTCAAAATTCACATTCAAAAGTTCCATGCAAAAGAGGCAGAGTTTTTTCCACGCTGTCTATATAGTATTAGGGGGGAGAAGAAGATGGCTCAAGCAAGTGCTTGGACAAGACGGTCAAGGGTGTTGGGAGGAAAGAAGGACCGGTAACTTCGATGATGTACCTGTTTGGTTGTAAACAGAGTCTTAACATGAAATATTTACCTTAAATACGCTAGGACTGTTCTTTCTCTAACAACTCAAACCAGAAGTACAATTTCACTCTATTGTTTCAATCCTTCCACATCCCTGATGGTATTTCAGAGAGCCCTAAGAATCCTCCTCCAGTTCAGATTTCCTTAGTTTTGTAATCTAAACTCCTGCTTCCAAACAGCCATCAAACATCATACAAGACAGCAGTAGTGGCCATTTTGAACACACCTTTGAGTGAAAGCCACAAAACACTAAGTAGAAAGCACGCGCCAGCCCCAGTGCACACCTTGGTATCGCCTGCTCTGACGTGGCCTCGCGGGGGTGGGGTCTCGGTGAAGATGACCAAGGGGAAGGGGAGAGGCACTCACCTGTCTTTGTAGTTGATCACAGTATCGATGATGGCATTCATCTGCTTTGTCAGTTTGGGGGGGTTTGGTGACAATTTCTCTGCGGGAGGGCGACCTCGTCTCTTCTTAGCTTTTTCCACATCTTCTTTTGCGGGATCTTTATCCACATTTCTTCGTCTCTTTCGTTTCTTAAGCCGTACTTCCTCTTCCATTTCTTCCAAATTGCCGTCTTCAATGGCCTGTTACAAGGGAACGAAGGAGAAAAATTCAAGACAAGAGGATAACCAATATATATACACACATACACAGAATTTGAATTAATTAGAATAAAATGAAACAAACTAACCAAAAAATAAAAGTTAACAGCAATCAGTGGAGTAGGAAGAAAAAGGGAAGACCACCATATCGAATAAAATGCATCTTTAACCCAAGTCTGTTTCATGAGCAAAATATGTTGAAGGCCTGAAACACTAATAGTAAAGAAGACTATGACAAATTCGAGAAGGTCCGTACATTTTGGTGTTGAAGATAACTGAATCCAATTGAAATTGTGTCTCAATAGAAGAAAAAGACCTTAACTGTCTCATTACTGTAAGGGAGGAAAAGATATAATTTAAAAAAAAGGGGGGGGGATGAGTGAAGAAAAAAATATTCCTTAAGAATACATCCTTACAATCATATAAGCATTGACCATTTCTTTTGTAAGATTTTTACATCAATGTATGCATGATTCACAACATAAATCAAAATTGCATCCAGATTTTTGTTCTCACGTAGCCATTCGTGAACAAGGAAACGGAGAAGTACAAAGCCACATTCCTTTGTAAAGGCACTTAAATCATCCGATGAAGAACACACACACTCACAAACAACACACACTTTTTTTCCAATTACCTGCCAACGCTTGCTTTAAACCAGAGCCAGCAGCACTAATGCAGAGAGATAATAAAATAGCTATAAAAACAACCGGGCATAAAAGAAACCTGTTCACAAATGGCTAAAAGATCCATGTGACAGACCCAGAAGTTTAAACTTTTTTTCCCCTGGTAAATCTCAAAACTTAAGAAAAACAGAGGTGGGAGGGGGAGAGGGGGAGAGAAGGGGGGGGATGCAAAAGAAAAAACAAAAGCCCAAACCACAACAGATAAAAGAGTATTTAACCACAGAAAGAAAAATATTTTTTAAAACCTTTAAATTATATTTTAAGATGGCCTTCTCACACAAAATAACTGATGTTGTTATTTGTTCCTCCTGCCTCTCAATATTGCCTCCAGTATGCAAATGCTAATCAATCCTTTCGAGAAGCTGAAAGAGCTCTAATCATAAGGCAATTACCTTCATTTCTCCACAGCACCAAACATGGCTAATATTTATGATCATGTGAGTATAACAATCAATATAAAGAGTGATTACAGCTCAGACATAATTTCTTTCACTTGTGTACAATGCCTCCTGAAGAAGAAAGGTTTTTGTGAAGAAAACCTGGTGCAGAACACACAGCAACCTGGCATGTTAAAAAATGCCTGTGGCATTTACAATATGTTTTCTATGCATCTCCCAATGTGCAAACCCAGAGAAGCAACATGCACACAGACAGTCTGAGCCTAGGCCTTAATAATCAAAAGACAATTTCTATCACGATCCTACAATGTTCAGATAACCACGATGAAGAAGGCGAGATCTGATGAATTATGAGGAAAAAGGAAAAAAGCTCATCATTTCATTAATATTCATTCGCCAAAAAGCAGGACACCCACTATACAGCTAAACACACTGCAGCTAAGCAAAGATTAAGAAAAGGAAATTGTCCCGCAAATCTTGGTGGCTGAACATGCTAATAATAAAATACAGCATGCAAGGCTGTCAACAGTTAATGGTATTGCTCTCAAGCACCCAGTTGCACACAGAAATACAGAGAACACTGGCTTTTGATGTGTTACACACCTACACATGCCTGGGATGTAGTTCTACTGAATCTTCAAGACGGCAACGAAAAAGGATATTTACCTTACCACTATCAGCAGGCCGGCTATCGGAAATCACAGTTAGTGGGGATAAAATTAACAAGCCAGCAAAGCAGCGAGCTGCTAGTCTCTTCATCAGCTGATCAGGAAAAAAAAGAGAGCTGGGAAAGGCTATGTTTTCATAGACAAGTAATTTTATTTTACAGAAAATTTAATACTGAAAGGATTGTGGATACTCAAATCTGCTGTTTCATTCTCCCTACTACAAGGCCCGAAGCCTTCCTCCTTCAGCCTGTTTTAATATTGACAACTACTTATCATATTTTTTTCTCCTCTTATTATTTCAGGCAGCAGAATTAAAGATTTTTTAGCTCGGGCGGTTTCTGATTCTTACTTGCATTTTAACAATTAAGCTGATAAGGAAACAAATTAATATTCAAATCTACTATCAAAAATTAAAACAAGGTATGCTTCTTTTTGGTATTTGAAACCTCATTTTAGTGTTTTTCATAAAACAAGCTGCATGGTTTTGGAGCAGTTTAAGATGATTTTTTTAGATAAAGGAATTTCTTTTTCATTAAATGCATGTCAGTAAAAGCAATGTGCATGTTCTCAAGTATAAATATTTTAATAAAATATGTTATTCTGTTCTTTAAAGAAAACCCTGAACAACTGTGACACTTCACTTTCAGTTTCATGCTGTAAAATTTTTCATTGTTTTTCTTTTCAGTGGGATAAATGAAGAGGGGGAAGTTGTGAAAGAGTATTTATACTCTCACCCCCCCCCCCTTAACTTTGCAAAAAAAAAAGGGGGGGGGAAACAAAGCATAAGCTAGTGATAGTTGGACTGTTAAATCTCTAAATCTAAGTAGCTAAAAAGCAAAAACAATTTAAACTACAAAAAGAACTAGTAATTTTTATTACAATTGCAAATACATGCAGATTCTTATTAAATTTAGGTTTTGGAATCACATGGAAACACACAAAGTACTGACCATTATTCCCCTTAAAGTAAGGCTTTTATGCAGTAATGCAGACAGCTACAAACACCTTTCCCTCCTCCCCCAAGACCCCAAACACATCCATATGCAGTGCTTGTTGTAGAGGGATTTCCAAGGGTCTTGTTCTAATGGAAATCAATTCTCTAAATATTTCCCGGTGCTTTTAGCACTTAAAGGAGTGGAGTAAGATTACTCCTGCATGTAAGTAAAATTATCCTTGGACATTTAAAACTGCTCTTTAATTTAAAAAAATTACTTATTCCACTGGCTACTCTGACTCAACTCAGTGCTAAGGGGAGGGGGGGGCACAAAAAGAAAACTTGCTACACAATGCTAAAGTACTACCCCCAAAAGATTTCCCTTCCAAACCTTTTACCAGCACAATAATGAAATAAATCACAGAAGCAAACCCCCAGTTTCCGACTGGTGACGTGTTGCGCAAGAGTGCGAGCCCTAATTCAACATACAGACGGCTCCCATGCCGAACTGCCTCTAGATTTAATGAAGTGAATAGGAAGGAAGTCGGGGGAAAAAAAGTGTACAAATAAGAAATTAACACTTTCCTGCCCTACGCACACGGCGAGCTACAACTACAGCGAAGTTTGGTGAGGCGCTTCTTTCCTTAAAGGCGCACTGCACCCTCCTGGCTCCGGATGTCACTAAAAAAACCCTTCTGGTGATTAAAAAAAAAACCAAAAAAAAAAAAAAAAAACCCCAGCCAACTTAAAACAGTGAAGCATATTTCAGCCTGCGTTTTTCCTGAATGGAGCTGGGAATTACTCCTTCCTCCACTGGATGGCAACCTTTTTTCCCCTCCCTTCTTTCTCTCTTTCTTTCTTTAAGAAAAAAAATTATTTTTAAGAATACATTTTCCTGACACAGGCCGGGCAAGAGCACGATGCGGACGGGCTCCTTCTTCAGCTAGCTCGTGAGGAGGCGGCGTGCAGGCTGATACCACGCAGGAGAGGAGGTGCCCGAGCAGCTGCGCTGGAGGAGCCGCTCTGCAGCCCGAGAGCACATGGCAGAGCCGGGGCGGCCGCACGTGGGTCGGGCCGGGCCCCGGGCCCCGGACACACAGCACTTCTTTCAGGGAGAGGCGGACGGTGCAGAGGGCCGGCAGGCATGATCCCCGCTCCCCTCGGCCCGCGGGGTACCGCGGCGCTAGGACACCCGACTTCGCCGCAGCCCGATGCCGGACCACGAGTAGGTACCGGGGACGAGCAAACAAAAGCCAGGAGCCGGCGCGGCGCATTGTTTCCCCGCGGCTGCCTTCCCCCTCGGCGGCTCCCCAGCCCACGCAGCGTGGCACGGCCCTCTCGGCGGAACAGACCATCTCGGGGAAAACGGGAAGGGGCAGCTCGGCAGGCGGCTAGACAATGCCTGCCTGGGAAATGTCTCGGCTGGGAAAAGGGCAAGGGAGCGTGGTAATGCTTCCGTCTGATGGTGAACATCACGTTTCTGCCCACCGACACGTTCTCTTTCTCTGTCCACGAGGATGGGGGGGTGGGGGGTCCTCTCCACTGAGAAACTCTAGGATTCCAGAAGAGCTGGATGCTACTGGGGGTGGAGGTGGGGTTAGCGTGCAGGGCTAAGCATGAAAGAATTGGGTCATGCCAGTACCAGCACTTCCTGGGGACCACACACACGTCACTAAACTTGATCCCATTATTTGGGGAGCTTAGACTTTCCTCAAGCCCCCATGAGATCCCAGACGCCAGTAAGTACAGGAAATGAGCCTCCAAACCACCACAACTGCAGCAACAACAACAGAAAGTGGGATTTTGCCCTGGTCGGTGCGCTCAATGGTTAGAGCGTCAGCCCACACACGGAAGGGACTCGGTTCGATTCCAGTCAAGGGCACATACCTGGGTTGCAGGTTCTATCCCCCAGCCAGCTCAGAGTGCGTGTGGAGGCAACCAACTGATGTCTCTCACGTCCACGTTTCTTTCTCTTTCTCTCTCTCCTTCCCTCCCTTCCATCTCTACAAAATCAATGGGAAAAAATATCCTCAGGTGAGGATTAACAAAAAGAAAGTGGAATTTTAAAGGAAATTTAACATTTTATGTATGAGAAACTTTCTTATAATAGGAATATTTAAAAACAGCAAAAAAATTGAACATGAAATTCTTGCTCAAAATGGCATCATTTTAAGCACTTGGTTTCATAAAGACTGCAGCCCTTCGGATACAGAATTTCAAACTCACGGCTTTGGACAATTAAGTTTTGATTATTACCATCCCCCAAAGCAACCTATTTGAAAAGGATGCATGAAAT